CTATCAGTAACAATAATTGCACGTTGCGATGTAATTTTGAATCTTACGAAGAGTCCTCGGTCGCGCTCACGCCGACCTTCTTAGGCGCTGCGGAAAATTGGTCATAAGAGACTAGATAGATCGTGGACGCCCGGTTACCATATAGCCTGATCCCAGTCGATGTACTTGATCCCCCAAAGTAATAGGTCCAGTGAACTGTCGATGGTCGCGCGGGAACTATGGAAACATGGTAAATTGCTGGTGACTAATGAGTCTTCCAATGGCTGTAATGGCTGAGTTTCCATAACGGGCTAGGAGGTGCTTTCCCGTACCATTGTGTACCGGCAACGCCCCAGTCGGACTTGATGTACGCGGCCGCCTTTTCGCCGATCATCATGGACGGTGCTGCTGTGTTGCTGGACGTTACCTTGAAAAATAATTCCAACATATTTTTACTCCTTTGTTCGCACGCGAGTCAGAATGCAGAGAAATTTCAACGAATTGATCTAGCTTTACGTTTACACAAAGATCGGAGATATCGAAATAAAAACAAAGATCGGAGATATTGAAATAAAAACAGAAGAAAGCACGACAGACATGAATTAAAACATGCTCTTAAGTCGATATCACACCGTACTAAAATTTACTAATTCATCGTTTTACGCCACAAAAAATGTTAATGAATTTTCGATTTGAATGTTGCAATTTTGCATAAATAGCTACGTATAAATAGTATAATCGAAGACGCATCGATGATATTACGAAAAATATTTACCTGCGGCATAATGGACGCATCGGCCACGCGGAGATTTTCGACGCCTTTAACCATCAATCGATAATTGACCACGGCCATGGGATCGCTCGCCAAGGGTCCCATCTTGCAGGAACCTGCCTGATGATTCTCCGGACCGGTGTCCTGACGCACGGCGCAGGCCCAGTATTCCTTGCTCAAGAACGGATATGCGGAACATGCGGGTAACTGGCTGTTGTTTAACGTCATGTTGTACTTGGCCATGGCACTGGTATTGGCGAGAGACAACGCGATTTGGATACCCTCGATGAGGATCGCCACGTCCATCGAATCGTTCAGATAATTCCCCCAGATGATCGGCTTCGCGAAGGGATCGTTACTCGCGAGACGAATATTTCCTGAAGGACACGTTCGTTGTTCACGATATTAATCGGTGAAGAGGATTGATATTCACCAAAAAATCAATGTGAACGTTAATTAATCAATTTCTAGAAATTTTACGATAAGAAATTTATCGCAATTACCACCTAATTGATTATTCTGAATCCGGCACACACTTTTGACTAATTTACAAACAGCTTACCCCTGCTACGCGGTTGCGTCATCGTCGGCGATATGCTGATCCTGCGACCGTTGTCGTTCATGACGGTGCCAACCTCGCCGGTGGTCGCGCAGGCCGCCTGATAACCGCCAAAGAACATCTGGATGTCGGGATGATCCGGAGTCGTGTAAGTGGACGGCAGCATCGCGGTCAATTGTGACAAACCCGTCGACGCCATCGGTCCTTTCTGAAAGGCGACATATTCTGCGGCAGCCGCCCAATTCAGGTCGTACAGATTCGGCTGATTGATAGTCCATGATAAAGTGTACGACACGTGATTATGCAGATTCTCCCCGACACCTAAAGCAAAATATAGAATTCGTCCCCGTTTAATTCGTCGATTTCGTCGCAATTCCTCTTGATAATCCGCTGAAACGTCGGTCGAACTCTCTTCCTTCCGATAAATTACATTTTATAAAAAAAGTTTTATACTCTTTAAAGTTTTTATTGAGGCGCACGTTTTAACTGGAATTCCACTACTTATTTATTCAAAGAAACTATAATGTAGTCATTCGGTTTAAATAAGGTGCTCTAAGAAACTCGAAACTAACGGAAACCGATCCTCTTCAAGCAATGCATAATTAATCTTTCGGCACAGAATTCTTATGTGGCTCTTTATCGGAGAATTATTGCCTCTCTTAAACGATACATTAATGTGTTACGTTCATCGTTGTGAATGACTTACGCGCAATGAATGGATCGTTTACCTGGAAGATCCTTGACGACCGTGATGTTCATCGCCTGCAGATGTTCCTTCGGCCCGATTCCGGAGAGCAGCAACAGTTGAGGCGAATTTACGGCACCACCGGAGACGATTACCTCCTTTGTGGTGCGGGCAACTCGAAGTTCACCACCCTGAAGATGCGTTCATTGAAACTCACATCACCAAACTCACCGTCACGCTTCGGAGCGCGAACTTGATTTCGCGCTCTAAGTGCCGGTAACCGCTCCGGCAAAAAGCAAAGTTTCCCGCGTGAGAGCGCGATATCGCTATATTGTTGACTTGGTCTATTCTTGTTTACATTTTGCAAAATTCAATTCACGATGAAGATGCTAAATCAAATTCAGCCGCTAGCGATAGCTTGACTTTTATACGTTCTCAGAGATTTAAGCGTGCGAGAAATACACGAGAGTCAAGTATAACGAATTCGATTTGCACACGAGAAACTTATAAAATCTTTGTGATATCCATGAAAGTGACTCTATTACGTGACATCTCTGCATGTGGATATTAATTATTGTTTTAAAAAACTGATAGAAACGGGATAAAAAATATGCTCTTAATATCCATGAAAGTGACTGCGCGTGACTTGTGCGCGCGCATGGCTACTCCAGAGAATTATTTTTTTTAATACAGTTAAAAAACAAAAAGTCCTCGGAACATTTTCACTCGTGCATAATGCAAGTTTTTCACGCGTGACGTACATTTTCAACGTATTAATAGAATTTGCGGCAGAGTTTCTCCGCAATTCTCGACCGTATAAAAACCTCCCGCTCACGATATCGTGACAAATGACATTTCCGATAATATCCATGAAAATTTATTCGTCATGCACGTGACACTCGACAAATATATCCAAAAATAATATTATCGCAATAATATAATATTTTTGGGATGATCCTAATATTTTTAGCACGTGTGTACAGATTTGTCAAGACATATCATTGCCTCTTTAAAATAATAATTAACTAAATATACAGAGATTTGAACACAGATATATAAATCATTGTTGAGAGTAAAATGAATCTAGATGCGTATACTAACTTGATAAAATTGGACTCCAACAGCCTTCTGATTCTCGATGATGATCCTTGTGGCGGTGGCGTTTAGAGCGATGTGTAAATTAGGTCGGTGTCGGACCGGTTGCAGAAACGCCATGCTGCTACTCACTCGAACGCCATTTTTGCTGTTGGTTTGTGCCACAGAGAATCCTGTAATTTGGTCGCCGTTCAGATCCTCGCTAATCGGATACCCTCTCTCGACCGCCGCCGCGAGGATATCGTCGGCGATTGCAGGCTTCCACGAAAACCGTTCGACAGTTAACAAACCGCCAGTCGAGTGATACTTGCGACCCACCCGATTGATCTCCGTGTTGTTCTCGGAGCACATGAAATACGGCAGCACCTAACAAACAATACGCTACTATTGTATACTTCTATCAATCGAATGTATTTGTTCCAGCTTCTTGAAAAACATCTCGAAATTAAAAACTCTTAGTAAGCGATTTCGAGGAGGTTTTCTTCTCTCTAGATAATTCTTTCTCTCTAGATCTCGTTTTATAATACTGCAAGATTTGTATTAGTCCATAACTGGGAGATATGCTAACGATACCATAGTTTTGTTTAAAAATTTTATAATCGAGTGATTGCATCAACATGAGGCGGCAATTTATATTTTTTTATCTTACTTCATCTGACAGTATAAATCTTGGAATTTAAGAAATTGATCGAAAATGTTTGCTTTTAATATCTAATTATTTCTATTCAAATGAAATATTTAAAATAATTCAAGACAAATTTATGGGATCTTACGTCGCTCCAATCCCATTCTTGATTTCCCATGGCCGCCCAATTGTCAAAATCTTTCGCGTGACCCCGGCTATACATCATACCGTTGTGGACGGATGTTCCGCCTAGATTTTTACCGCGCGGCCAACTGCAGGATCCGCCAGTTGACAGACAAGCGTTCATCTCGTTCGTGGTTTGATACTGCCAGTCAATGTCACTTCCTATTGGTAAAATTGTCAGATCGTTTAACATGCGTAAAGCCCGTAACGGATATAGATCGCAGCTGCTCTCGCAATAATATAGATTCTAGATGAGCACTACAACCATTTCCATTCTCTCGAAGATACTCGAATTATTGTATTTTAAATAAAAAATGACCTCTTTCTTTATTTTAGAGATTTACGGACATTTTAGGTATCGTGTTAATTCTTAATGTGCACAGATTTGTAACTGATTTTATATTAATTCGTTTGAACAATCTACTTTAAATTTATAACGAAAGTATAATAATTATAGAATTTTATATAACTCAAAATATAAGTCTGTCTAAATATAAGTTTCAGAGGCGTTAATAAATAATAAAAGATTAATTCTTATTAATTATTTTAAGCAAACTTGATTAAAATGTTATTTTAACGGTTACTAAAATAATCAGTATCAAACACTCAAAAAAATGTCTTGCTGATATAGGTAGATTTCTAGGTGTCACAAAAAAACTTTATCGCTATTTTTTGTATCTGTTAGAATATTGTCTGTTACATATAGAATTTATAGCAGCAACATTCTAATAATATCTTCTAGAAAATTTAGGTCCCATTGCCAAATGTTAATCACTGCATTGGATAAATATGAGTTTCGATACTACAGAACGATCTTTGTGAGAAATATAACTGCCAATTATAACTGCAGCATCGAAAAATTGAGAAAAATTGTTTAAAAGAGCTAGATAGATTGAGCGCGTTATACAAATATGTTAGACGTGAGGATTATATATTCATTTGTTTCTTGCCGCTAATTTTTTCTGTCTACCACAGCCAAACTTTATAACAAGTATGATTGGCCTTAACATGGATAGGCGCCACAGAAAAACATTCTTTCTAAATTTCACAAACAGTTCAGATATAAATTCTGTCTCTGTCACTTAGATTGATTAAATGCGAAACATATGCGATATCACAGTATTTGCTAATCATTTATGTACCTCAGTTAATTTTGCGCACCCAGAAAATTTTTGTTGTAGTTGCAATACCACTTTTTTGAGTGAAGATAATTATAAAGAATAAAAGTCAATTCAAAATTAATAAAGTTTGGAAAAGACTCCAAAAATATTTCTTCCAATTATCTCCGATCGACGAGATAAGAATCAAAATCGACTTTTAGACTAAAGCGATACGTACACCCGATGCATTTTAAATGCTTATATCGTACCAAGGTCTGTATCTGTAGTACAGATAACGGAACAGAGCGGCGCTCTGTGTGTATACGAAAGGTTCAATTGAAACTTACCCAGAAACATTGCCACCATACTGGGAACATCGGCACCCGGTGGCTCGTCCGGGCCGGCTTCTAGCAACAAAACTTTCCATTCGGGTATGTCGCTCAGTCTAGACGCCACCACGGCACCGGCTGATCCTCCTAATTCCGAAGCGACAAAAGTCATTAAAGTCCTATCGTTATTCAGCGCAAACTGTTGTTACTCTGAGAAAAATGCATCCGCGCATGGGCGGGGGCGGGACGCGGGGAGGCGGCGATGGAAGAAACGAGAATGTTGTTAATTGCATTCGCCGGAAGGAAAACATCTGCGCGACCCTAATTAACTTTTTTAGCGATTAGATCCATCATCGACCGATAAATTGCGAACTACTATTCTCGTCCCCCTTCCTTGTATATTAATGATAGGTGAGTTCGATTAATGATAGACACGCGGGTACGAAAAGCCAGGAAAAGAGTTTCATATGTCTGATAAGAATTAAAAAATCACTAGCCAATAAGATAATTACTGAGTTGATGAAAGAACGTAAAATACAGTTTCAGTTGTTTACAGTTATTATGTTAATTAACTATTCCCGGATATACGCGATTTGGCGCTGCTGCGATTTAGTACGATTCTATCGATTGTTACGAGAAGGCGTATTGGAAAGCTAAGGTATTTAAGGTCTTGGCAATGGTTTGCCAAAAGTTGCGTAATTGTAACTTTCATGTTGCCTTGTCTTTTTCAAAATTGTTTTTTCCAAAATCATTAAATTGCATGTATTATAATAATATAAAGTATACTATTTGTGTATGAGGAATTTTATATATTTCAAACTTAATATTTCATTTCTTGATATTTTTAAAACATCTTCTCTTTGACCGATATTTTATTTTTAGCTTTTGCATTTTTTACTAGATATTGCGAGTTAGTTCATTTACGTGCTCGTATCTTTACTTGGTACGTTATTTCAAGATATGCTTTGACCCTTTTTAGATAACACATTTTATCGCAATGTTTTCACAACTCTCTGCCAAGTAAGTGAATTGCTAATTTGTGTCTTTAAAAATACAAGAAACCAGACACTCCTGAAAGAGAAAAAAAGAAATTGCTGAGATTGCGTGGTCAGTCGAGATTTGCAAATATCACTGTGACGTTCGTTTGAAATAGTCACACAATCGATCGTACAAACATTATACAGGGTGAGTCATTTTAATCAACGCACGCAAATATCTCGTAAAGTAAACAAGATGGAAAAAAATGTTTTATACAAAAGTTGTAGGGTTCAGAGGGGGACACATGATGAAAATATGAACTTGACCTTGAGTGACCTTTTCAAGGCCAAGTCAATGTGATCAATATTTTCTTAAATGGAACCTCACATTTTTTATTG